TTTGTTGACTGTATTACTTAGGTGTGGGCATTGATTATTTTTTTTTCCAGCTTTAATTGAAAAAAATGTTATATATGGTGTTTGCTTGCACTACTTTGAGCACATGCTAAAAAATGATTTTTTATCATTTCACAAATTAATATCTAAAACGTGGGGTTGTGTGTTTGTATTGATATGTTTATGGTAGATTTAAAATTATGAGAAATTCTATTACATTGTGAGATTCTAATTTAATTAGAGTTATTGTTGTTAAGGCATGAAAATATTTTTCATGCAATTGAAATATTTAAAAGTGTAGGGATGCCTAATGCGTGGAGTTTGTTGAAAAAAATGTATTGTGCCAAAATATCAACCTTATAAATGTCAAGTTGTTTTTGTTGTGGTTTAGAAAAAAATTATGTGAAGGCTTTATGACCTGCATAAATGCTAACAAAATTGTGATTTATGAAGATGGTGGCACATAATTTAATCATTTATCTAATGCAAATAAATGTAATTTGAAATAGGAGCATGACTTATTTAATTATCTTAGCATGAACATTCATTATCGTGATTTTGAATAATGATTTATTCATGCATCATGGTCCATATGAGATAAATATAATATTTTTTAAATTACAAGATTGTGAATAGTGGATTCTCTAATGTATAAAATACGTGGATGTTAATGTGAGAAGAGCCACTAGTGATTATTCACCCTTAGTGGTGATGGAAATAAATATGATAACGAGACCATAAAGTTTATTACTCTGAATTTGGAGGCTAAGTTGTGAAAAATCTCTCTAGCAATTGTTTTGATGTAAATTTGACAGTGAGTATTGATAAGCATTCTTATGATACAAACATATTATTAAAAAAATAAAAGTGGGATGATTTTATTGCTCGATATATGTTTGTATATATGAACAAATTTTGGAGAGTTTGCTACATTAGTTAATATTAATTCCATGATATAGTTATGTTGTGTGGATATTAAGCATATTAAGTAGTCTTATAAAAGGATGAGATAAACGAGTGTTTGAAGTATACCATTAATGTTGGCATCATGCATAATGGATTCTCAAATAATACAATGATATTAACTGAATTTTATATTTAGGTGAGAAAAAATCCATTTGAAGCCAAATAAAATGTCATCCGAGCTAGAGTTTATTACTCTAAAGTTGGCTAATAATGAGGCTGAGCAGTTAATAAACTTTTTAGTGAATATTTTACTGTGAGTAAAATTGACACAAGCCATGTCGATGACTTGTGATTGCCAAATAACAATAGTCATTGTAAAGAGAATAATGACATGGATAGATATCGTTTGAGATATAATTAAACATATTAAAAGAGGAAGTTATCTCAATCAATTATGTGACCAGATGTAAATCTAATGGATCTATTAACTAACCTCTGGGGATGATTTTAATTATTAAAATGTTGAGAAAAATGTGACTTAAGCCTATTTGAAATTAACAGTGATGACAACCTAACCTTTGTAATTGAAGATCCCATGAAGAAGATTCAATGGGTAAGATTAAGTCACTTGTTAGTTCTACTAGCGTCTGTTCCTTCCCCTGGCTTTAGAAAGTGTTAGAATGCATTGATCGGAGGTTGAGCAAAAGCTCTTAATATTTTTCATAGTCTTTATAGATGGTGTATTCATTGCAGAGGCATTTGATGAAAACACTTATACATATGTGAAGTAAGGCTGCTCCTATGAGATCGTTATGAAATCTCTAGAATGTTTGTTAAAACCAAGCATATGCACAGCTGATAATGTGCAAAATTGTCGTTAATAGTAAAAATTATGGGGGTATACTTCGACTAATAAGACCTATAGTGCACGACCAGAATTTGTTGATTCAACAACAAAGTTACTTTGACTTTTATGTGCGTTAAGTTTTATTGATCTAGATTTGGTTCAAGTTAAAAGGTACTAAATTCAAAGTAATTTTTTGTGTGAATAACTCAAATAATAGTGATCTTTTTGACATATGTGGGGGATCGTTGCCATTGTGTTAAAAAAAATTCCACGTTGCTCAAATGAATGAAGGTCTTAATTTATAGATACTAAGATGTGAACTTGAGCTAATAAATGGGCTTAGAGGAGAAATGGGCTCTTGCATACAATTGCACACAAGTTAGACGTGATTTGAGGCAATTTTTTAAAATTTTGGAAACTATTTTGCAAAGATACAAAATTATTTGTATAAGATAGTTTTTCAAAAATCTTTTCCTTCCATTTGAAATATGAGGGATTGTTGAATATTATAAAATATTTTAAGTATTTCAAAAGAATTATTATAAATTAATAATATTAATTATTATTTAATTCTATTTATTATTTTGTAACATATAGTCTAAACAATATTATTATTTGAAACTATTTTTTTTAATTCTGATTAAGGTAGTTTTGTTGCTTAACATTATGAGATATGACTATAAAATGCAGTGGTTGTCACAGGTTCAATTAGAACCTTAGTACTTTTGGCCTTTCTCTCATTATTTGTATAGTTATTTGAATATATTCTGTAAATTTCTGTTGCTCTGTCTCCTTACTTTTAGTAGGTAGAGTCTGTTTAATTTTAGGAAACTTCCGTGTGATCTACCTAATGTAGTGAAATAGCTTTTAAGGATAGTATCTTTGAACACAACTTAAACCATATTTTCACCTACTGGTGCCAACGATTATAATTCACTCCTTCTTCTATTTATGGCTATTTTTGTCATAAAGGAGTTTTAGAGATACAAATGCTTTGACTGGGTTGATGTACCAGCTTTCGATCCTTGATTATTTTTCTTTATTTTTCTTGCATTTTGCTCTTTTTTTACCAGACTTGTCATAATTTCAATATGCCAACAAAACAATTAGAAAAGTTTATGTACATCTCAACAAATTTAAAATTAAGATATTGTAGTCATATTTTAAAACATAAAGATTAACATTCTAGACAAATTAAACCCAAGGAATTAAGAACAATGGAAAATATTATAAGAACCAATAAAAAAACGTGCTAAAATTATGAGCATCCGTTGCCATATATATTTTCTTTACTTTTTTATATTAAAGCAAATAACTATTCTCTAAGATTTTTTTTCCCTTCATTTTTTACATGTATGCTCTTATTGAAGGTAATCCTGTTCAAAATATTATTAAATACTAAAATGAATATATTTTTTATTAGAATTTGAATCTTAACTTATTATATTTTGAGAATTGGTCTCTTATGTTAGATTTGACCCTGAATGGTTTTGTTTATGATGTAAGAGAGAAGAGATAGTCGGTAATTTAGATCAAGCTCGAGTTCGTCTAAAAAAAATTAGGGTTGAGTTTGACTATATGAACTTTTTTAAGGGGGTATGATACTTTAAGCTTAATCCAAATAAGTTGGCCTTAATTGAGCCTAATCCAATAATCCTGACCCTTAAATTTACGTCTTATGTGTATATAGAGTAGGTATTTTGATTAAGTCCAACGAGCTAGCCCGAACTTGACAAAAAAAAGTAGGGTCAGTTTTGACTATGAATTTTTTTAAGAAAGTATGATACTATGAACTCGATTTAAATAATTTTAGCTTGAATTGAATTTGATCTAAATAAATCTACCTCACTCGAATTACCAGCTACAGGGAGAACCAAAATGCTTGGATGTGAGTGAGTCCTCTTAATTTGAAAATTGAAAGGCCACCTCATCAGTGCTAAACTATCTCACCATCCTCCTGCTAATTTGTAGGTCAAGGCCAGCCATCTCCTTGGTATACCCACCGACTAGCCCAAGGACTTATTTATTTATTGGTCCATGGCTTCAGAACATCGCTAAATAATTTTTCTACGCTGGCATACGAGCATGAGAATATTGCGCTGACATTGGAGCTGTCTCTTTCGCAGGTCACACCCATTCGCATATATTTTTGCATTTTCAATCACATGGCTTAGGCAAACCACCTACTTTGAAGAATTCGCCACGGAAATCCGAGCTCCACGCAAATCTGCAACAACACCAAACTGACAGATCTCTATCCCCTCTAGCAACATCTAAAACTTAGTAAAGGTGTGGTTAATCACAAAAGTTAATCACTTGTGTAAGGTGTCAATTGTTATGTATTTCATATTGATGTTAATTTTGTTATATTTATAATAAATATTTTTTTTATTTTGTTGTAATTGTTGAATGGGTAAAAATGTGTTATCAATATTATCACAATATATTAGACTGCATTGTAGATTTACTATAGAAATCATTGCTCGTTTTAAAATCACATGTTAAAACATGCTCACTTTGATTATATTTATAAGACATATTCTATAAGTAATTTTTAGTCTAAAATGTAGGACATCTTATAATAATTAAACTATTTTTTTAATTTTATTCATTTTTGATTAGTGTAAAGATATTTAATATAATTATATTATTATTTAAAATTAAGTATAAAAATAAAAGCATATCTTATTTTTTTATGATATAAAAAATTTACTTTTTTAAAATATATAAAACAGTTAAAATTATTTTATAATAAAAATCGAGGGAGTATGTTGTTGGATGTGTGATTTGTATATAATCATAATATTTGATAACCAAGAATCTGACCATAACATGAATACGTATTTTAATTTTGATACCTCGTACAGTTTATTGAAGAAAATAAGATTTATTTGATTTAACTTCTCAATCATTAATCATTAATATGCTTAGTAATAATATCGGAGTCACCATCTTATGTTAAAGGCCAGCTGATTTTTTTTTTTAAAAAAAATAATATTTCAAGCTAGGGAGGGAAAGGAAAATGTGGCACGTACCTTTCAGGAATTTACAGATTTGCCTCTCTCATCTTTCGATTTTACTTTTTCATTCCTCCCCTCCCACATTATTTGAACATAAGCATTATCATGACACAGCACTGATCGTGAAAGCGCCTCCCCCCCTCTCTCTGAAGTCTTTCGTAGTCGCTGTGTCCCCACTGTCTTTGGGTTCTGGCAATCTCACAGATCTTCACTCTTCAGGCAAATGCTTTGGTGCTGTTGGAAGCTGAGAGGAAACGAAGCTCTGGCTTTCTGGTTTAGGGCATTGGCATTACTCTTGGCACCGCGATAGCTTGATGCTTATGCCACACTCTCCGTGGGCAATTGTGTAGTGAATTTGTGTAGTTTAATTGTGAAGTAACAGCCAGAACAAGTGAAAGAAGAGAGGGCAAAGGTCAATGAATGGTGTTGGGTTACTTGACCGTGTTGTCTGAAGCAAACTCTTCTCTTTCTGCGAAAGAAAATAAAATATCCCTTTGAAATTAAGCTTAGGTTTGTCTTTGTAGTTTTCCATTCTTCCTGTTCTTGCTTCATTTTGATCTGTTGGCACACCTAAACAGTTGAAATTTTTGACACCACTTGCTAAAAAAATATCGGTTCTTTGAAGGGTAGCAGATAGTGCAGTTGGCGGCGAAGATCTGGGGATCTTAGTGGACTCAATTAGATCGTCTGAATGTTTGGAGTTCCGGGCTGCTGTTCCTGTCTCTGCTGCAACTGCTAGGGTTTTCGATTCCTGTATATTGCAATATTACTTTGTTAGCCGATGAGTACCAAACGCGCCTACAAGCTACGTATCCTTTGCGTTTTGAATTCACCTAATTGGATTATTAGTAATGCTCATGCTTTTTGATCTATATACCGGTGCCTCAGTTTTGAGCTGTCCACTCTGCTTCTTGCTTTAGATCTCGCCGCAAGCCATTGCGTTAACTTTTTGATATGCTAAACTTTCTGACATTGAGTGATAATTAGTTGTCCTTGACGAGTATTATGCAGAGGAATTTGTGGCCCATGCTTCCACTGTTAATTGTCTCAAAATTGGAAGGAAGTCATCCAGGGTTCTTGTAACTGGAGGAGAAGATCACAAGGTCAATCTTTGGGCTATTGGTAAACCTAATGCAATACTGGTTCGTATTCTGGATACTTTGATTCCTACATCTGTGTTATTAGTATTATCTTTTTTATTGGATACAAAATATAAAGATTTTCTGTCACATATGCTTTGCGTTGTTTTCTTTGCCTTTCCTTTCTTGATGATGCGCTAAACTTCATGTGGGGCATCCACATTTTTGTTTTTGGCCTATCGATTCATAATTGAAATTTGACTTTAATTCTTCAGAGTTGTTGGATGCTCATGGTAACCGATGAACTTGTGTGAATGGTGCTTTGATGGTTTTGCACGAGAATTAGAGGGTTGTCAAGGTGGTATGGTATTAATTTAGATCTTAAAGGGTAACACTGTTTTTACGTTTTTGCAGTTGTTAAAGGTCGGTTCTTACATGGTGTCAATTATATGTTTTAACTTCTGTTTGTAAATGTGTAAGAACAATACTTTTTCTGTCATTAGACATGTGTATCTGAGCTGGACTATATTTACTGAAAGTTTGAAACTAGTATATTTGTTTAGAGATGTGGGTTTGTCCTTAGAACCTGAAGCATTTCTTGATTTAGGGAAGAAATAGCAAGACCATTTCTCCTTTATGATCCTTGTGTGCTGGATTTTAGTGTGTTTGGTTGATGGAAATGCATGAATACCAAGAACTTTGAAGAAATTTTTATGGCTTGAAGCTACTAGGGGACTGTACTGCCCCTTTGGCATCTTTATTTTGTTTATCTAATGGAGTTTTATCCTTGTTTTTGTATTTTTACATTAAGGGACAAATATCTTATTCGTTGCACTACAGCAACTAATTCTTTTATGCAGGAAAGAATGGACCAATATGTATCTGTTTTTAGTTTAAGAATTGTGTCCTCCTTCTGCAGAGTCTATCAGGACATACAAGTGGAATAGATTCTGTAAGTTTTGATTCCTCCGAAGTTTTGGTTGCCGCAGGAGCTGCAAAGTGGTACTATTACTCTGGGACTTAGAGGAGGCAAAGAGTATGCAGCTGATGCTATTTTCTTTTGTGATATTAATACTTGGTATCATTGATTCATATGATAATTTGAATCTGTGACTTGCATATTTTCTTGGGTAGTTGTTCGCACTCTCACGGGTCATAGTCCAACTGTGCGTCAGTGGATTTCCATCCTTTTGGAGAGTTCTTTGCGTCTGGTTCTCTGGACACGAATCTTAAATATGGGACATTAGAAGAAGGGTTGTATTCATACATACAAAGGCACACTCGAGGAGTCAATGCAATTAGGTTTACCCCAGATGGACGGTGGGTGGTGTCGGGTGGAGAGGACAATTCTGTGAAGGTACGGATTGTTCCTTCTCTTGATCCATGTTGTGATTAAGTAATTGATGTTCTCTTATGATCTGCATTGTTTTTAGCTCAATTTGCTTGTATAATCAAGTAAAAATGTAGCTTTTTTTCTAAAATGTATCCAAATATTATTGTATATCGAATAATGTAAGATGATTTGGCCAATGAAGGCTGATGCGTAAGCTGAGAAAAAAGTGACATTGTCAAGTTGTGTGGACAATTGATGCCTCAAAATATTAATGCAATGTTTAAATTTCAATATGTAAGATCAATGTGCTTTTCAGATGAAATAATGCTCCTATAAACAAATAAAAACAGTGATAATAAAAAAATGAGGACCCC